CGTATGTTTGTATGTTATGTATTATTATACATATTCATGCATGACAAATTTTTTACCGGGATTTTTTATCTGTATAAAATTAATAGTTCTTCTCCATTAATTTTTTATCTCAATAAGTTGCGAATAATTAATGAAAGAGAAACGTACAATTTAATTAAAAAGTTAATAAAATCTAAAAATTTAGTAAAAATATTTTGTCAAAATTTTTTTTCGGAAAAATTAATTATTGGTAAATATCTGATTGAAAGGTGTATTAAAAGTTTAATGCATATAAGAATTATCTTTTGAAATGTTGATTCTATGGAGTATTGTTTTAATTTGAAACTTATATATTTGTGTGTGTGTGTGTGTGTGTGTTATTTTATGTTACACAGAATCAACACTGCATGTGCAATAGCGCTACGTGGCAGATGTGTAACTCCGCTGTTACGTATTGGATAAGTGAATGATAAATTAATTTTTTTATTGAGATATAATATACGTGTGGTGGCATATAATATATAAAATCTTGTACTGATATTTAATTACGCAAATGTGGCTATAAATAGCTAAAAGAATCTTACTTTTACAAATAATATAATTATAATTAATATAATATTTAATTTGATTACTCGACAACTTTTTAATTACGCTGAGCAAATCCTAAGTGATGCTATTAAAAAATTATTAGGTAATAAATATTGTGATATTGATTTGTAATAATTTAATCGATAAATAAAATATTTTACAATATTATATAATTTTGCATAAATAATACGAAATATGCGACGCGTCATTGGTTGATAATAGTTCACGATTGCACCTATATTTTACGTCTCACTTACCAGATACGCGTGATATTTCTTCATTTTGTTAATTTGAAGTATCGATATTATTAATAATAATAATTAAAATTAAATTAATATCGCGGATAATAATAACAAGAAACAATCAATATATACTTGGAGAATACAGAGCATACTAAGGTATGCTCTGACTTCACCAAAGAAATAAAAACAAACGTTATATCGTCACATAGCTAAATAGCTGTAATAGCTCACTAATAGCTGTAGAATGCCGCATATTTGAAAATTTCGAAGAATTTTCCAAGTATAATGCTTGTCATTACCAGCTAGTAAATACATAATACTTTAACAATGCGCATTAGTGATAGGAAATAAAATTTATAAAACTGCACGAGAGCGTAATTTGTAATATTTTAAAACACGAAACTAGAATAAAAAGTGAATTATTCGTACAATAAAGTACATTTCCTGATCGCTTTAATAAAAGCGTCAAAAAGAAAATCACTTTACCCTAACTAGATTAACACTCGGTAAACACCATCCAGTCTTACGTAAATTGGTTTTGACATATATGTATAATCATTATACGCAAATCGATTTTAGAAAGGAACAATTAATGCCTCTATCGCCAATACATTATTTCAAGAGTTAGACCTTACGTACAATAAAAGCGATAAGGAATTAGGAATAAAGAATAAACGATTTCGATCTATTAGAAACCGATGTATTCCGATGTATCCGATTTCTAATAGGTTAAAATCGTTTATTCCTAATTCCTTATTCCTTCTATTATGCGCAGGGCCTTAGACTCATGCACATTGATTAAATACATTGATATAATGTACATACAGCATTCGATGAAAAAATAAAATTGCAATTGCGGTAAAAGATCAATTATATCCGTCGACACTTTACAATAACAATAGAAATGTTCAAAGTTACACGTGTATAACAAATGCTTATTCAAACAACTTTTTAGCATAGTGCCAAATACGGAAAAAGTACTCATCTTTCCTAAGTAATCTTGCTCTCGCGTATGAATGTATATCGGCATCCATATTATGTTCTCTCAACCATGAACTTGTGTTTTCTGTGCTAAAGCTGATCGATGCGGTCTCACCTTTGTCCATAGCCTCTGCAATTAGTTCCACGCACGACAGTTCTGCCAAAGGAACAGATTTAATGATTAAAGTTTTAAGTTTAAACTCAAATTTGAAGGATGAATGCTGTATAATGAAAAGATATTTACAATAAGAAAGAAAGCCATACCCGATCAAAGCGGGTGATGGCTTTAATAACTGTGTGAGTTTTTACAATTTTCAGTTCAAGCAAACTATACGCGCCCAATATTTGACTTTTTCAAAACAATTCTAAAACTGAAACTAATAATTAATATCAATTAAACTGACATGCGATGTTTACAGTGTTTTAAAGACTGCTCATTAGCATCAAAATTATTAAATTGCTTGTCAATTTAATTGTGATATTACCTACTTCAGTTTCAGGATTTGTTCTAATTACTTCAATTTTAGGGCTGTTTTAAGATCAACAAATATTCGCATGCAGTTTGCTTGAACTGGTAATTGTAAAAATTCACATAGATTCTTAGGAGTAGGGACGTTTTGTTCTAAGTCCAGAAGACATCCTATGGATCAAATAGTCGCTTCATTATGTTCTATATTCATCCACAGGATATAGAAATCGATAGTCTTGAAGACATCCATCTGTAATCTTTGGGACAATTCTATTCTTACCCATACGGCAGATGTCTATAAGGGATATCCCCCTTGTCTTTTAGATAAAGTGTGCTGAATTTGCAAATTGAAATGTTTCGCAAAATATTACATTCATTAGCTTCAATGGTATAAAAATACATTCGTGTCTTGCATTAAGCGCATGAAAAAGTCATGTACAAATAATTATGATTCGTTTGTGTGCGTCGATTATATAGACTTGGTTATATCGAGAGTTTGACTAAATTTTACATGCAAGAAACGATGCCATCTATCGGCAGTCCAAGAATATCAGAAAAACCCAAAAATAAATTCCCAAAATTACTGACATCTTTAGGATTTCAGACTAGAATGTTAATTGCTGATTAGAACATTTTTAGACGCTTATTTATATAGGTCTCAGGACGGTCTGAAATTTTCATCTTTGTTAGTATAAGGTTCTAAACACATTCCACATATGTCCTAAAATATTCAGGACGTATTCCATATTTATCCTGAAAATGTCTTGTACTATTAGGAGTATTATTTAAACACAAAGACTCATTTTGACCTCGATCCTTGGTTATTGTTTTTGAAGATTTTTTGATCGATTTTATTGTTTAAAAACTTATTATTATTTAAAAAGATAAATAACTGGTATCGAGTAGAGAAAGATAGAAATGAAAGTAATGATAGAGTCGTACCTGATGTCGGTACAATCTTAAAGGGTTCTTCCGATTCCAAATGATCGCTAAATCCGATCTCATTTCGTGCGAAGATTCTTATGAGATATTCGTGATTCTCTTGCAGATCTCTGATGTTCAATTTTTGGATGTCCGCACTAACTCTTCCCACTTCCATCCACATAGTTTTCTTCGCGTCTCTAATAGCAATTTTGTAACCCTCGAGAGATGCACCGCCGTCTGATTCGGGTCTACCCCATTCGATTACCATTGTATTCGCTGCAATCTGTCTCATCTCTAACGGAGCAGTAGGTGGTGATGGAACATCTACAAATAATTCAAAAAGCATATTGTATAAATTGTTATATATACAACACTATATTGTATATATATATATTGTGTATATATATATATTGTATATATATATATATATATATATATATATATATATATATAAATTAGCTTACTGGCATGAGTTTTTAGCGTGATTGGTTCGGAATTAGTAGGTATGCTAAGACCTAAACTATTTTCAGCAAAGATTCTAAAGAGGAATTCGCTTTCTTTTAGGTTCTCTATACAATATTGGTGTGTTGTAGCATCCAAAGTGACAACTTTCGACCACCTGGCGCCTTTTCCGATTAATGGTCTCTTCTCGATTACATAACCTGTAGTGAGAAGAAAATAATATTAAATCAATATCGAAATGGAGAATTCATTTGATAAAAGTTTATATTTTATTTGCACGTATATTAGCACCTGTCAATTCCGATCCTCCTGTTGTAATTGGTGGTGACCAACTGAGAGTGACGCTTTTACTAGTGACATTTGTTGCTCGGACGTTTAGCGGACACGAAGGTGGTGCTAAAGAAAATTTAAATTATTATTTGCTCAATATATATACATGTCTTGCTGCATTAGAATTCATATAAAATTATGTTTTATTCGGGATATTTGCATTTCACTTTTACTCTCAGATTAGATCAGTATATAATACGGTAAATTGTATCGTCATGCTTGTCTTAACGCTGAAATTCTAGTGAGAAATGATAATGGAATCGATACTGGAATTAACTCGATGTCGATTCGACGTCGAAATCATCAAATCGACGTTGAATCGACTTTGATTCGATATCGATTTTACTTTCATTTCTCACTGAAACACTGTGTCTCCTGATTTAATATACCCCAATACGTACTAATGCGTCTAATCAAATTTGTTAATAGAAAATGCAAGAATAAGATACAATTCAAGAACAAAACATGAGAGAAGAACAAAATTAAGAAACTTACTCTTAATGGCGATAGTTTTGGTTGATGGAAATATGCCTAGTAGCGCGTATATGCTGTTTTCTGTAAGCTTTATTAATTCTAAGCAAAAGCAAAAGCGATCGTATTTATTATTAGACTAGTTATATTGGGAGTTAATAATAATTGAAAATCAGTAATATGATAAAACATTTAAAAAATAATTAGTAAACTTACTCGGTTGTTTACCGGTTGTAATCACTTCTTCTGCTGTATACGGAAGACCAGTACCAACGTTATTTTTAGCTAGTATTCGGAAAGTGTACGATGTGTCTGGTTTTAAATCGGATACAGTAACATTAGTGATTTCCCCCTTTGTACTCGCAATCTAAGAAAAAAAATTAAAGATAAAGAAAAATTGTCTTAGTACTGTGGACAATGAGTACTTAGTGCACATCAGATAATGTGAATCGTACTAACTCTTTGCCAAGTTTTCTTAGATGTCTCCTTCGTTTCAATAATGTATTCTATAATAGAAGTCCCACCATCATTTTTTGGTGGTTCCCATTTTAATGTGAATGATGTTTTCGTCATTCCAAAAACTTCAAGTGGTCCTCTTGGTGAGCCCGGTGTTTCTAATTATCGAACCAATAAAATATATGTATATTTAAATATTTTACAAAGTTATATTTAATTTTCTTAACATTCTGTTTTAATATTTAATACACAAAAAAACATAATCTTTTTTTACCGAATGAAGTTCTTGTTCGAATTGGTTCGGATTCTAAAGGATCTGAGAATCCGACCGAATTTCTAGCAACTATTCTGAATAGGTAGTCGACATCTTGCTGCAATTTCTGCGCACAGAAATTCTCAACTTCTTTGTCGACATCACCTACTTTTGTCCAAACTTTCTTATTCATTTCGCACTTCTCGACGGTATATCTTTCCAGTTCAACCCCACCATCATCGATCGGCGGTCGCCATTCTATGGTGACGCGATCTTGTCTAATTTCTTTCGCGATAATTGGTCCCTGGGGTTTGCTTGGTTTATCTGCAATACGTAATAAATATGTACATCACTAATTTTAAATTTACTTTAAAACTTTCATCATTATTTGACCAATATGAAAAATTATCAACCTATAACACGAAGATGACATTCCATCGATGAGCTACCGGCTTCATTCGATGCTTTCACTGTATAGATAGCTGTGTCATTTCTAACAAGCGAAGAAATCATAATAATAGATGTATTTTCCTTAGTCTCAATGGAAATGCGCTTATCAATTATTGTTTTGTTATTTATCGTCCACGTTACTTCCGGTTTTGGGAAACCACTAAAATGAATCTCGGCTTTCCATTTATCGTCCACTGTTAGTCTCTGCTTTCTTAAATTTTCATCGCAAGTGATCTTTGGAGATTCTTGAATTTTTAATTGACATGATGTTTCCGCCATTCCTGAATCATTTTGAGCTTTAACCGTAAATGTGGCCGAAGATGTCTCAGTGGTTTTTCGAATAGTATATTTAGCTAAATGGTTTTCGTATGTAATATCACTATCTTCAAAAACCTTGCCATCTTTCAACCTAAAAAATAATTTTCACAATACATCTCGAGTGCAGCAATTGACATATTTAGCTGCCACAATTAGATAAAAAATGAAATAATGAAAAATTACCATGTAATACGAGGTGTCGGTACACCACCAATTACACAAGAAAGTGTGACAGTCTCTTCTAATCCAATGACGATACTTTTAAGTGCTTCAAGAACGGTCGGTGGCTCAGACGCTGATAACTTGGAAATTCTTAGATATGGCGTATTCATCGATGCCTCCCCTGGTCCAGCTTCGTTAACAGCTGTTACACGAAAGGTATATTTCTTGTCGGTGATTAAGTTGGTTAATTTATATGTAGTTTCAATTATTGTCTCTGTGATTCTGCTCCATCTTGAAATTAAATTATTTTCTTATAAATTGTAGAGATATGTATAAGAAAACACATGTTTAGATTTTTTTTAACGAGTTCACAAAATTTTGTATTACTTACAAAGTTTCTGTTTTTTCTCGATATTCTAAAATGTATTCTATGATCGAGGAGTGTCCATCTGTATCTGGTTTCTTCCAATGAAGAGTAATGCTATCATCAGTTATTTCAAGAGGTTCCGGAATTCCTGGTGCACCGGGTGTCTCTGTAATGCGTATATATATCTTTTTTATTATTATATTTATTTTTAATGAAAAATCGAGATTTTCTTCCGAAAATTATTCAGATTATTATATCGATATATACGTGTAAATACATAATATATAAATGTACAATATATATGTAAATATGTAAATACTTACGCACAACAATGACGTTGATTTCTATACTATCCTCTCCATGTGGATTAGTTAATTTTAGAGTATAATCACCATAATCTTTCTCTTGTACATCTCTGATTATTAAGACGGCTGAACATTCATCAATAGATGGAATAATTCGTTTAGATTTTTTAAGAATACGGTCATTGACGATCCACTCATCAATTGGAATTGGCTTAGCCGCGAATTTGACAACAATATCAATGTCATCGCCTTTCATCGTTTTGTATTTTTTAAGCGTATCAGGATGAATTTTAGGCGATGTTTCAATAACTGTGTAACAAGAGACGCATATAAATGAAATAATATCCAAATTATTATGGACCAATAAAGAAGAGAACGAAGATTAATAGCAAATTCGATTGGACACTCTCAGTACGCACTAGTGCACATTAAGACCATCGTATACACATTTGACATAAAGATTTGTGTTTATTATAAATATAGAAACTGTGAAATACTCAATACACTTTATTGTGCTGTTAGGTAAAATGTATTTTATAATTTGAAATATTTACATTTTACTTTTATACTCAAATTAAATCAATGTACAACAGCTTCATATATACACCAGTGCCTTTAATCGAATTCGCCATAATACTGTTGAAGATACCTCACGCACGCACGCATGCACACCCACGGGTATACAAGACCTATTTTAAGTTATCTATGTATGCTTAATGAAAATACAATGAAAACGCAATCTTATAAAATTTACCTTCGATTTTTAATCTCGATGATGTTTTCACGTTGGCAACTGCAGCAATATATTCAGCAATATCTTCGGTCGTGCACTTTTTAACAATGAGCTTTTTAATATTTCCTTCATCGATAACATTATATTTCGACGATTGTGCACAATCGATCATTTCATTTTTCCTACATAAATTTCACATAAGTTTATATATATTATACATACAATATAAAGTGTATATATACTATATATACACATATTATATATACTATACATATTTGTTTTAATTTTATTAATTATAATTGTCAAAGAAATTAACTTTTTAACAACATCTTAACGCAGAAATAAGTACATAATATCTGTGCAGAGCGATAATTTTTATTATATATTTTAAGTATATTCGTTGACATTGTTAGGGGTTATAAATACAAATATGTTTTCTTTTTTATCACTGATGAAGACTTTGTAAGTCGAAATGTTTGAGGTATTTTAGCGTTGTTACGTATGTAATTGAAATTGAATTTTTATAAATCATCTATTATTGCTCGTTTACAATGAAAGCCTTGATTTTTTATTTTATTTAACTTTTTAAAATATATTTTTTTATTTTGATAAAATTTAACTTACTTTAACCATGTTACTGGTACATCGGCACGTGATAATTCGATAAGAAAAGTTGCATCAGTGTTGAGAGGCACTAAAGTAATATCTGGCAATTTTTTAATAAAATCTACTTCGGATTCTTCGACTGTCAATCTGGCTGACGAAGTTTGATCAGCAACTTGACAGGAATAGATTCCTGCATCTTCTACTTCAGCATCATAAATTTTTAATTTTTGTCTTTTACCATCGATTGACAATCGCACGTGCTCAGAAAATTGCAATTCTTGTCCGTCTTTGAACCAGCGTACCAGAGCATCACCTTTCGTTAATTCTATGTCGAAAGTCGCTTTCTCCCCTGTAGCTATAGTTATGTCTTGCATTTTGATAATGATCTCCGGTGATAATTCGACAACTGTAACTTCCGCTGTACACTCTTGATTTAGAAGAGCGCATGTGTATTCGCCTTCGTCGTGAACCGATGTGTTCCTGATGAAAAGTTTCCTTATGGTACCATCTTTCGTAAATTCTAGTTTTCCTTTGCTTGGTGTTAATAATTCACCATCTTTTCGCCATATGACATCGGCCGTTTGAGATGTGATCTCAACCTCTAAAATCGCCACATCGCGTTCTTTTACCTCAAAGTCCTGCAATTTCTTGACGAATTCTGGCTTGGTAGCTTTAACGATAACGTTGCTAAACGTCATTTGATTCTTGACAGTACATTTGTATGTTCCTACATTGGAAAGACCGCTCTTCTTAATAAGTAACTTGTGTAGACGTCCTTCCTGAATTATCTCGCGATGATCCATCCCGCTAATTTCTTTATCATTATGCCACCATATCGTAGAAACAGTATGGGATGTTTCACAGCTTAATTCTAGAGTTTTGTATTCGTTGACTATGATTTTATTTTGCAAATTCCTTGTGAAAAAAACTTTGGCAACATCTACTGTGACTTTTGCACCATGAGAAGCTTTTCCAACTGGATTACTAGCGACACATTTATAATCTCCAGCATCGACTTCAGAGTCTGCATTTTTAATTTCAAGTAGGATGTTCTCACCATCATAACTTTCTATGATATTAACTGATTTATCAAGCGGTTTGTTGTTTCTAAGCCAAGTAACTTCGGGAACGGGATTACCAGTAACTTTGGCAACTAACTTGAAAGTATCTTTTTCCGGAACGATTACTTCTTGGAAACGTTTGGTGAATAATGGTGGTTCTGAGGCGCCACTTGGTACTTCTGAATTTTATAAATACAACAAAAGCATTACAATAAATCCATTTTATATGCAAAATTATAATTGTATTAAACAATTAGCAGCATAGCAATAATAAATACGTATCATACCCTTAACAAACGAGACACACTTGTCGTTTATACAATGTTGAAAATTAATGTTGACTTGTGATATGGAGTTAACTGAAAGCATATTAGTAAAGAAGCGCTTTGTAAAATAGCATCCGACAACAAGCTGACATATTTTATCGCCTAAGAAGACATTAAAATAAAACGCAATTTAGTTTCTTTCAGTTTATATTTCATTTACGTCTATTAGTTGGTAGCAAATGCCAATTGTCGAAAAGGCGAATGAATTAATATAACGAAAAAGCGGACGTAGCGAGAAAAGGGCACACACTTTCTGTAACCGTAAGATTTACCGTAAGAATCAGAGTTGAAAGTTTAAAAAGAATAACCTAACATTTTTTACAATTCTTGATTGTAATTGACTAAGCCCGGATTTACAATAGATTTTTAAGTCTTAAGCCATAAGAAATAGACGAATCGCAGTCAATTATTCTCCTCGTATTCGACTGTAATTGGCAGGTCAATTTCTTAAGGCCTAAAACACCTATTATAGATACGGACTAATTTTTACGGTACGTCTTACGGTTAAGGCTTGCAGAGCATAGATTTTTGCATAAAGTCATAATGCATCTTCTTAGTCCTAGTGCTCGTGGCCGAGCGTGATGACTTAATTCTGTCATAGGGTATGAGCACAAGGATTGCCGTAACGCTTTACGGCAGTCTAAAACTTAAGACTGCCGTAAAGCGTTACGGCAATCCTTGTGCTCATACCCATATGCTTGTGGTGCGCACGCTGATTGTACACAGTCATATAGAACCTATAGTTTAATATCGATTTGGAACGACAAAATTTTGTTAAAGAAGTGTTCTTAGCAAAAATACTCTTGGTGAATTGCCGCTTCCTTTTGTGAGAGACACAAGCGCATAAAAATATTTTGGTTCTACTGGGAATCTCTAGCATAGTTATAGATCAGTGCGGTATCAGATTTGCCACGCTCGCTCTCAAAGCATAAGATGTACAAAGCATAAGAAAATTAACTAATCAGAGTCTCTTATTTCATAAAAAAAGAAGGAAATTAAGGACTTGATTGATTCATTTATTATGCATTATGTATTATGCATTATGTAAGATTCTCTGCTTCTGTCTTGTTATGAAAAGTGTGCGCGACAGCTTTGTGGCATACAAGAAACATAAGGCAATAAGACATAAGCAATAAGTAATCACAATAGAGAACGTAAGACGATAAGATCAGCAGTAGCAAATACAAAATGTAGATTTGTCTATTGTTCATTTCTTACTGGTTATGTTTATTGTGTGCCTTAAAGCAAAACATTAAAATGTCACAATGCGAAGAGGTAATTGCTCTTACTCTCAACAGTCAATGTAGCCCGAGTCTCAGTTTTGCCTATATCATTGATAGCTGTAACCGAATATTCCCCACTATCTGTTAATTGAGGTTGGATCAAGTTTAATGTATTAACATGTCCGTCTTGCTTTAATTGCGAACCCTTTAACGGCTTCCCGTCTTTGTACCATGTTATTTTCGGTGATGGATTACCGACTATTTGAGTCGATAATACGACAGTCTCACCTTCTTTAACTATATAAGATTGTAACGGTTCTAAAATTTCGGGTGGTTCGCTCTTTCCAGTTTTCACCTGTTCCATCAAAAGATGTATTAATTATATGTGATATGTAAAAATGAATTTACAAATATATGTTGTTAACCAACCTTTACAGAAATATCGATAGTAGCCTCGCCTTCTCTGTTTTTAGCAATAATCTTGTATCTTCCCTCCTGCTTCTTTTGAATGTTAGTGAAGTTTACGACACTGCAGTACATATGCATGTCACTTTCAGTTGCAACTATAATATTCTGTTGACTAACTACTGGTACGTCTTTGTGATGCCATGTTATTTCTGGTTCCGGTACAGCGACCAATCGACATTCCAATATCACATCGTCACCTTCATTCACATATTTCGCTTTCGGCTTTCGAGAAAATGTAGGTGGTATACCCTCTAATATATCGGCTAAAGATGATTCTCTAAACAATTTAATAGTAATAATCAGGGTTGGGTAAGTTAACTCTTTTTTTTAACTAAGTTAAGTTAAAGTTAACAACCTTGAAAATTTAACTTAGTTAAAATACAAGTTAATTTATAATGAAATTAATTGAATTAAAAGTTAAGTTAATAAAAAAAAGGTAATTGAAAAGTTAAAAGTTAAATTTGTTTTTTTTTTATTTTTTAAATTCATGATTCCAGGGTTTCAATCTTACAAATAATGGAAATGACAAATATATACTTCATTTAGAAAATACTCTATATTTTATTTACATGTTTTGTTTATATATACT